CGACCGCGGCGTGATTACGAATCATTGATCAAAAATTACCGCCTCGCGCGATGATTGCTGTTTTAATAAGCGCCGCTATTCACGCCTGGCCATTTTATTTGCTCGTTACATGACCCGCGCCGTTTCCTCGCCTTCGTCGCGCGATTTTCAAGCGAGCGCAAAACACGACGCGCCTCCGACGAGTAATTTAAATGTAAAGGGCTCGTTGTCGAGATTCATTCCTCGAGGCGGAGTGAAAACACCACTCGTTGTTTCGTCCGTCGGAAATGCAGCGTCATCTAAGATTCCGCGCGGTGTGCGATTTTGCCGTCGCAATCAACTGCAAAACTTCCACCTACGTCGTGTTTCAGTGATTTCATCTAGATTCGTCTGCCGGAGCAATTAGCGCGTTCTGACTCGGCGGAAATCTGGAAACTGCATGATAAACTCGCGCGAACGCGGCCCCTGGGAATCGCGATAGCGTTTCAGATTGCGAGCTGATTCCGTTTCCAAACGCGCGTGATTTTAACGTATTATTATTTCGCCCTCGCGCCTCACATAATCGACCCGACGGTCTCCGAGACGAAAGACGACCGATTCTTAGCGCGACATTCCCTCCCCCCCTCTCTCTTTCGCTGACAAGCAAGCGTCATGAATGCGCGCCTACGCGAGTGTCTGAAGAATCAAATAACCAGTCCGGGCACGATCGGCGTAACGAGTTAGCCAACTCTTGTTTTTAGCACTTGCCGCTTTTACCAGCCCGGAGAATCTTGCAGCCTCTGCACTTCCGCAGTCTGTCCTTCCCCGTCCACTCCCCGTAGGCGTCCGGATTCGTACACGACCCGCATACCAGTCCTCGTCTTTGCGAGGAGGCACCCTTACCACCCGGTCCTCCCGGCCGGTGCATCGGCCAAAGGAATCCCCGGGCCTCCTCCTCAAAAGTAGAAACTGGAAACGGCTGGGAAAGGTTGCTTGCAATCAAGCGCGGACTTTGAGCGTGCTCCGTTCCGTTTTCTCACGGTCTGCATTATCTTCCCAGACTCCCGCCGCGGCTCGAACTCCTCCACCCGTCGGAGAAATTGGAGGGCTGAGGTAACGACGGAGGCGGAAGAGCGTCCCCGTCTCTTCCGTTTCTCTCGTCGCGCACTCGTCCCTCGCACCGCGTCCTTTCCTCGTTCCCTCTCGGCCCTGTTGAAATCACCATCGATCGTCGTCGCGAAAAAGGAGTTAAGCTCGCTCGCTCGCTCTGTCGGCGTACGACAATGCGGGACAGTCTCCTGTGCGATCGCTTCCGGTTAGATTTTCACCAGGAGGCGGTATGAAGCGGGAGCTCGGCCGAACGGACGGTCAAACACTAAAACTCGGCACTCGATGCTCCTTTCGGCGGTCAAAGAAAGGAGGGACTTCGACCGACGAAGCCGGCTCGATGGAGTCGCTCGTTTCGTGTGCTCGCGATTATTATCGCGGTAGCGCGGTAATGCAGGTGTGGCTTTCGCGTAACCACACCGCGAGCTAACCTAATTCAATTCGCATTTGTTACGAGAAGCGACGGCACTTGGAATACCATTACCTCCTCTCTCGCGCAGCAGCGGAGACAACGGCTGCTCCGACAGCTGCGTTCGCCAGTCGCGTCGAATGACTGCTCCGATATCGAGTGACGGCGCTTGAAATCCGAGTTTGCTCTACGTCTTGCCGATGTCTTAAAGCTCTCATTAGTGTAGCTCGTCGCCTTCGACGAGGCAAACGGCCGGGAGAGAATTAGCGATGTCAATATTTGCGGTGCAATCAACCCGCTTCGACTTTCCGCCCCCCGTCGATCCGCCCTTCCTCCCGCGTCCGCCCGGCTTCGACACCGACGCTGATTGTCATCCACACTTTCATGACCGGGCTCTGGCTGCTCGCCCGTGTTGTAGCTGTTGTCTTTTCTCATTTCGCCGGCTCGCTCACCTGATCTGTACACAGCAACGCCGATAGCGAGCGAGAAGCAATGCAACGGGCACCCGTTTTAGTCGAGAGTTAGGTTCGAGGAACTAGTCTTCTCGCGGGACGGATACCCGTGAATTATTTCCTTCAGTTTATTTGGTTCCTCGAGCATGTCCGCGCGTCCCCCATCGTTCTCTATTTATCGAGTAACGAGCGGTATTACTCGGTACCTCGGTACCGACCGAGTCTCCCTCGTCGTTCTCGAGGAGACGCGTTGTCCGCCGGACTCTACAAGGATGCGTGACAAAGCGAGCGACCTGGTAAAACTCGTGCGCCGATCATTTGTACTTCTTACATTTGACAAGTCTGCGGCAATTTGTCGGCGATAAGAATGATCGAGCGTCTCGAAGCGAATCGGGCGGGGCGGGCTGGGGGATGGCCAGCGGCGGTGAATCCCGGCGACGTAGGAAACGGTCGGCCCGGAAGGGTGAGAGACGCCGGAGAGAAATGTCGAAATTAAAGTTTTCGCAAGTTATTCGAACGCTACCTGCGGCGCGCTCGGTATGAATCGAATGTCATTTGTTGAACTTAAACGAGGGGGCGGCGGAGAGAGAGAGAGAGAGAGAGAGGAAAGTAGAGATATATAAAGGAGGGAAAGGCTCGTAGAGGACGGAAGGGGTTATAACGCAAACCCTATCCCGGAAGGAACAGTTAGGACGTCGAATGCGGCGGAAAGACCGCGTATTGGTGGAGGAACGCGCGTCAGCGTCGCAAATTGAAAGTCCGCATCCAGGGACCCACTATTTTCTCGTTCCGCTCGTACAAATCTTCGTTCGGGACTGAGGCGCGCGTTTTCTCCGGCGTCTCGGCCGGGGGGACTGTCCGTTACCGCGAGAATAGATAGCGATTTTTATCGATGTGTAATTTAGCAGCATTTCTCTTAATGTCTCGCAGCCGTCTCTCTTCTTACGTTGCTATTTTTCCTGGAAGCGACGAACTGCCTGCGAAGTCGCTGGCGCATAAACGCGCCCACTCATGCGGTGTAATTAGCGTTGCACCACACCGTGAATAACGGTCGAGAATAATGACCGAGATTTTGCGATCGGGTAAATAAGACGGTCCTTTGCCCCAGTCTAGTCCCATTCGACGGTATTTTCCCTTAGCCTCCCGTATTCTCCCTTCGCTTTAACTTCACTTCCACCCCTATCTCCTCCCTCTTTCCTTCTTCATCCCTTTCGCTTCCTGTTATCTTTCTCTGTCTCTCGTCCTCTCTCCTTCACCTCTCTTTCTCTCTCTCACTCTCTCTCTTTTTCTCTTTCTCTCTACTCTCTCTCTTTCTCTCTCTCTCTCTTTTTCTCTTTCTCTCCGTCCCTTTTACCCTCACCTAGTGGCGTGACACATGGCCAGCATTTATAGCGCGAGATAGCGCCGGCGGTTCTCGACAGCGCCGGCAGATTTATCCTCCACGGTTATTGGAGTTATACAAAGGATTTTTCCAACTGATCCCATAAAGTATCTGTGCCTGATGCCCTATTATTTACGCAGCCGGCAGCGGCTGATGCTGCGAAAGCGCGCGCGCTCGTTCGCTCGCTCTAGCTTTTCGTTTCTAGTTTTTTGCGCCGGAATGCGGAGCGTCGTCATGAGCTTGTCGCGGATGCTATTTTACGCTTCGTCGTTTCTCGATATACCGCGAAGCCAGTATCTCGCCGATATCGTCTTTTCATTGAGTGAGTTATTGTCGCCGACGAGCATCGACGTTGCTGCGGGCGCTGCGCGAGACGAGCGGCGAATATCGAAGTTAGTGTTTTGACACGGTTGCTTCGATATCTTGCTTATTTTAACGTCATTATATATGTCGCATTAGTTTAGCATCTGTAATAACTTGACACATTGTATAGAGCTTAGCAGACGCACGAAACTCGAGCGTCCGGTCAAGCTACGTTCGTGTCCATGTTTAAATCGCCGAGTCATCGTCGAAAAGTCGCCGTACATTGAGAAGACAACTTGCGCTATGTGAAGGTATATTGTATCAAATTGTGTCAAATCTTCTCAAAGTCGGTCCTCTTATTTCATCTCGCCCCAATTCAATTTATAGTCGAGCTCCAGTGCCGACTCATCTTACAATTTATTCTAACTGTCTACTTTGTCGAATTTTGTGAATTTTATATGCAACAAATTTTATATATAACGATATATTTATAATTCAAAAATTGAGTTATCGCGATCCCCACATCGTGCTTACTCACGAGAAGAAAAGTTAGGAACGGCCGTTAAATTAAACGACGCCAAAGTTATCGGAATCGTGTCGTGTTTTCGGCAACGAATACTTGTGCGCTGTCCGTGAACTGGCTGCATACGTTACGCCGTTACCCATCGTTGTACCGTTTATCCCTACGCTCGCTCGTTCATTCGTTCATCCATTTGTTTGCTAGCGAGTTCGTACCCGCGTTGTTCGGCATTAATGGATGGCCGCTGTTTCCGTACGTTTTATCGCCGACTGGAGCTCATAGGTATCGCCCGAGTGGTAACCGCCGCGGCCAAAACTGGCCGTAGCATTGATCCAGTTCTGTAGAAACCAGGTGAATGGTGCGCTTCCAGTCGCTATCTATGTGATCCCGCCTTCGGACTCTCTCTCTCTCTCTCTCTCTCTCTCGAGTTAAAAATCGGATCGCGATTCCGAGAGGATTAACGACGTTAGTAGAAAATGGTAGAACGATATAACACATCGTGCGGTAGCGGACACTTGTGGGTCAAACCTTAGGTCAAGCTACGTTCAGAAATGTAAAACGTCGGCCGATTGCTGAAAGTCAGTCGACTTTCGCACGTCGCGGAGTTAACCGAGAGCTCCCGCTGTACAATCGATTCACAGCGGTTGAGAGATACTTTTAATTAAAAACAAAAAAATAATTCTTGCGGTTATCCGTATTGTTTCCATTGATTGAACCGCGCGTTGAATTATGGACGTTAAGCCGCCGCAGTGCATTAAATCAAGATCGAAGTTATCTTTCTCGGCGTAGTACGTGTTTCGTTTATACGCACTTTAGGCGTTAGACAATGGAGGATATACATAACAGGGAAGAATATTTTCTTGTTCGCAGGACTCGGAAGGCGACACACCCCTTCACGACGCGATCTCTAAGAAACGGGATGACATGTTGGCTCTGTTGTTGGACCATGCCGCAGACATCACCCTCACCAACAACAATGGCTTCAACGCTCTGCACCACGCTGCTCTTCGTGGCAACCCAAGGTGAGTGCTTCGCGTTTTCAGATGTGACGCTTTTGTCCGCGGCGCTGAATGCGCCGTCGTCGTCGTTCTAGAATTTAACCGTCAGTAGCGAGCTGCGGCGCTACGTAGACACCGATAAACACCTCGTGCCGGATAACAATTACGCGCGTCTCACTTCTCGTAACTAATGGATAGGTAGGCTCTAGGTACCGAGAATTCCGAATGCCGCCCGTGAGAAGCAACGTCGCATTAATCTGCGAGTGCGGCTTGCTCGGCGAAGAGTCGCCGCCGTGTTTGTCGTGCGTCGTGATTTATATTTCGCCCATTCGGTTACGTTCGGCGATCGAGGCTCCAATCGATACCTCGACGGAGAAAGAGTCGAATTCTTTTTATCCGAGACACACGAGCGTTTAAGCTAAACGTCGCTGCCGAACAACGGACTTTCTTCGCAAGAGGCTTTTTCTTGCGAGAAGTTACGGGCGAAAAGATTTTCCAACGGCATGTCCAATCGGCCCGTTCTTCCTTCCGCTTTCTTTGTTCCCTTGTCTGACGAATCATAAAAGAACGTCGAACCACAGATGTTCCCCGAAGCCGTCGTTGTCGTCGACGTCGTCTCGCTCCCTCCCCCCTTCTCTCTCTCGCGCGCACCTTCTCTCCCTGCGACGAAGTCTAATCGACCCGGTCATTCTCGAGAGGTAGCGAGTCAATTTTACCTCGATTCTCACCTCCCATTCTCCCGTTCAATTTAGCTGCGCGGACTCTCAGGGCTTTTCGAGATTTGCCCACTTCTAGTTATTACTTCAAGGCAAAGACGGAGTAACGAGAATGGGAGGACGAGAGGATATTCCGATGGTGGGCGACGATATCCAGTTTGAAACTATATCGCGACTAAAATAACGTTATCTTCTAACGACGTCGGTTTGCATACTTGTGCTCGCGAAATGCGATCTTTCCCCTCTCTCTCTCTCTCTCTCTCTCTCTCTCCCTCCCATACGGAACAAAATACTTTCAGTCTTGCGCGAAAAGTAGCGGCTAAGATTACTCGTTTTCGCGACGCTTGAGCAACGAGGAGGAATCGCTTCGCGACTTTTTGAAGAAGTTAGCGCGCGAGCTTGTTTCACGATGATTTTACTTCCTTTTTTGTCCGTCGTGTTCTTCTTTTCTCCGCGCATGAACGCGGATTTCAATAGATTTCGAAGCTCCCTACGTGGCTGTATCGCCTTACCTCCATGCCTCCTCTCCCTCTCGCATTTTTCCCTCTTTATCGTTTTCTCTCGTGTTTCTGCGCTCGCACGTGAGATTCTCCCCGACATTTCGCGCCTGCTTCCGGATCTGGGAAACGGAGGCGCCGGCTGCATATAGTAGTTCCACAATCACGGTTACGAGGCACTCATTTTCGACCCTACGGTCGCGTCGTGCGGAGTATCAGCGATTCGCAGTCGCTTTCACTCCGTGACGATGTTATCGCTAAAATAACAGGAAAATTTTCATTGTCGGCCGGAAGAGAAAAGATATCGGAACTCGCAGATTGCTTAGACTTCCTTCGGCTTTAAGCACGTTACCGTCAACGTGGTAAAATGAAGTTAGATTACATCGGCGGTAACTCCGCGTCGCCGTGAGAAAGATTTCGAAGTGCACGGGGGAATAATCAGGGAGAGGTGTATCGAGGGGGTGCGGGCTGGAAGTCAGTCGCTCTCTCGGACGTCGTGCTCTTTTCGTCGGATTTTTATTCATTAAAACCGCAAAGTTGATCGGGTCGACGCGAACCGTAGCTTTACCGCCCGCGTGGCATATTTCCATCTGCAGGAGGAATTCCTTGAAGCCCAATTGCGCGATAAATTCCCACGCAGCCGTATTGCCGTGTCCTAATTGGCAACGAGGAAGGGTGAGACCGTGGAACAAATTCCTCTGATAAATCACGTCGCATTTCACGCTTCCGTTACTGCCGCTTCCGTGTACACACACGTACGGGGAAACGCGCGAACACGTCTGCCTCGGCGTCAGTCGCCGCTATCAGCTGGAAAAATAACGAGAACGATGATCGGATGACGTCGCGCGCGCTGAGATTGGAAGACCGATGGAGGCGTTCGATCGATTTGCGGACTCGAGCGTCGCGCATCGATCGCACGTGCCGGCGGTTCAATTTACCACCTACGTTATAATCCGGGACACGCGGTACGAGGAATTAGCGAGAGAAAGAGAGAGAGAGAGAGAGAGAACCCGATACCGTTATCTATTCACAGCTCTCAGAGCAAACGACGAGGATAATCGTCCGAGCAGTATCGACGGCAAGAAACGTCAACCTTATCGTTAACCTTGCCATGGTCGGGTAATTATAGCGACGATCTAACGCAAGGAAAGACGCTGGAGGGTGACTCGAAATTAATTCAAACTAGGAGATAGTTGGCGGTAAGTGAATGCTCGAAACCGATGAGGTTTACTTAGCCTGTCATTATATAGACAGAGGTCTGAGCGAACGAGCGAACGAACGATCAAGTGTTTCGGCGCCGCCTCAAGTATAGGCACTGTAATCACGGGAGCGTATTAACGCGGAGATAGGTAGGTAACGTACTCGGAGCGTGCTACGCAATCAGGAATCAATCAGGAATCAAGCTGTTCGCGAAGAAAACAGCCGAGAACTCCCGCGCGAAACAAGCGCCACGCGAGGGTGGCGGTCGCGAGCTTTCGACGCGATTGCTCGGCTGGAATGCGAATTTAAAGCGTCAGCGAGTTGCTGTTACTCGCTGTACCGGTTGCGTTTCCCAAAGTACACTTGGATCAAGACGAACGCCGGGTATATTCCGGAGTCTCTCTGCTCTCCTTCGCGCTCCGGTATTCTTCTTTTCGGGGCCTCGGCCGTGGACGGCGAGCCGGCCGACCTCTTCTCCGAGCTCTCTTCCGCTTCTCCCTCTTACTCCCCGATCTTGCCGTAGCTGCCTTGCCCTCTCCCTGCCTTTCCTTGCTCTATCTTGCCCCGTCGGCCTTTCCTCCCGTTTGTGCTCGCTCTCTGAAGGAACCGCCGGTTTCTCTCAAGACCTGTGCCGTGAAGCTCTGAAGCCGAACGAACGGACGTCCGGAGACGTAATTTCCTGCTCTCCTGGTGCGGCCTCTCGTACTCTCCTCTCTTCTCCACCTCGACCCACCCCTTCTTACCAGCCTCGCCGCGTCTGCCGCTTTGTACGGTACATTCTGCGAGAGTTGTCGACGAAACTTCCCTCGTTTTCCATGCTTCTGCCCACGGGTCTCTGTACGTTCCCGAATTAAGGTCGAGCAATGGTCGAGGCGCGCGTGGCCAAACGCGCTCGCAAGGACACTCGTGCAGAAAGCAACAAACCCGTAATTATCGACGCTTCGTGCAATTACGGTAAATCGTGGCGATATTGCTCATTCATTCGGCAACCGTGATGGCTCAGTCGTGTTGTTCTTACGATACGCGGTAATTGGCGAAACGTTTTTTAACGAGAAAAGCGCGTTGAATTGAACATCGCGCCAGGCGAAATCTGACAACCCGCGCACGGTAAAAAATTGTATGTTAAAATCCACACATTTCACACGTTTCAAACGGTCCGTACAAATTTTTGTGTTAATTTACAAAATATAATTTTTTTTTACCGTGTAGCTTGTTGTCCTCAAATGTTAGTCGATATTTATCGAACGATCTTATCGCTGGATTATTACGTCAAAATCTTTTTTATCGCCGAGAGTTTGCGTCTCTGTTAAATATTTTCAAGGGATTATTACCGCAACATAATAAATTCCCACTCTCTATTTGAGGAAAGCGCGGTGACGATGAAGCGATCATACGATAAATAGTGCATCAGCGTTACATTATCGACGATGAGTATTCTATGAGTCATAATATTTTTACGCGCGTCGAAACAACGAACTCGATTGCAATCAATAATGCTTTAACGTTACAAAAGTAGAGTACGGTCAAAGCGTCGGTCAATACGCGAGTGTTACAGTGAAAGGCCACTAAAATTGGCCGGTTATAGTATCCCTTTGTTATTGCCGGCTCGCAATAGCCTGTTATTCGGCCGTGATGGTCTGATCATTATGCTCACGAGCAGAGATATAAACACGAGTCATATACTAAATTCTACCACATGAATCGGATCGTCCCGTTGGTGCTAAATATTGCGATACCATCTGCATGACGACAACTGATTGACGTAAATCATGAAATTGATGGTTTAAATTGTCATCCTTTGTAGAAACCGTCATCGTGCAATAAGCTGGAACAACAGCTCCACACGATTCGTACTTTGTGAAGATACGCGGTGTTCACGTGACGCGGTGTGGCGGAAATCCGCGATCATCCAAAAGCGAGACCGTGCGTTTTCCGACGTCAAATCCGTTAAGACGTCTGACTTTTTTTTTCATATTTTTCACAAACTTATTGCAACCTCCTCTCAACGCGTCGCATTCGCAACCCTTCGTCGACGTGTTCACCGATATAAGCGAGACCGTGGCAACGAATCACGAAGTTATAACGCTAATTCGAGCTCGCTCTGATGTCTCGGACGGCTTGATTATGTTAGCCACACGGCTCTCGGTGTCGCTGATCCAGCAACGCGCATGGCCATGAAGCCGCTTTGATCTTCCCCTCGTAGCCGCACTCTGATTGTAACGCACCGGGTCAGAACAACCGCGCAAAATCCCCACTACAGCCAATTCCGTTTGTTTTGTTTCGTTTCGTCGGGACGACGGTCACGTATGTCCACCCGGAGAGCCTTTACCGAGCAGAGAGCGCGGCCTCGGCGGCAGCAGCTCCTGATTAAAATTTTGTTACCGCATAGCTTGTATCAGCGACTGATTTTGAGCGGCTTTGTGCATTAACGTGTCGCCTATCCTTCTGGCCGAAGCTCACCGGTTACCGATACCTCCTTAACTCGTAAATGGGAGTGTGACTTTTTCAGAAATGAAACAACTGCTGTTTATAGCTAAGATTCTTGTTATTGACACTATTTCGCTAAATTCAAGAGTAAGGTCCGTATTTATAGTCGCGTTTCTTGAACTCA